TGTGCCCTGCTCGGAATCGGAACCCTGTCCAGGGTCCTCCACATCCTTCAGAGCCGACTCAGAGGGCCTCTCGCTGTCGGAGTCTGGTGGCAGTTCCAACGGCACCTGCTGGGCCACAACATATAACTATCCCAAAAATTTGAAGGGTATGCTGGGTATGGGTATGTTCTTCCCATAGCAGTTTTGGAGGACCAATCCAAAAAAATACCATATGACCTGAGATTGTGCCCCTGCAGACAAGGGGTTATTGAAACCACAGTTCATGTCCTACTATATTGTATCTTCTATAAGGATTCGCATTATAACACTTCACCTAATAACATTTCTGGGAAATACTCATCTCTTCTATGTACAACTGCTGTATCAAATCAGTATTAACTAGTTTCTTTAAATGTACCCAAATTTTGCTATACTGTATGCAAAATTAGGCAGACTCTAAGTGCCCACTGATAATCCATCACCAATCGTAATATATTATTTTGTCTGTTTTTATTTTAAATTTTTATTATTAGTATTGTTTTTAATGCTTTTATCTGTAATACTGGTCTGTGACCGTATAAAAATTGATTGATCTTTGTGACTAGTAGTTCAGGAAAATCCGAAGACCCACAGGTCATTCATTTAAATCCTCAGTGAAAACTAGTTTAACTACTAAGTTTAACTTCTGAACGAAGATTTTTAATATCACATAATTATTCAAATGATAAAACAGTTTTTTTCTCTGTTTTTGAAACACGCTTGCTTAAGGAGGAGGTGACTGCTTGGCTGTTGGGGGGGCCCTGTGCCCACATCCATTTCCTGTGCACATTCCTGAACCAGGAAGTCTTGCTCTTGGTCACTCACAGTCAAATTATTGTAATACAGTATATCTGAGGCTGCCTTTGAAAACCACTTCAAAATTACAACTGGTCCAGAATGCAGCAATGCACACAATGTTGCTCCCACACCCATTTACCAGACTACACTGATGTTACACGAGCTGCACTGGCTTCCAGCTTCTTTCCAGGTTACATTTATGATGTTAGCTAACATCTTGAAAGCCCTATATGGCTTTATGTCAAGTTGTTTGCAGGATTGTCTATCTCTCAGGCATCTGCCCATAGAACCAAGTCAGAAAGGATAGATGTACTTGTTAGGTCAATTCCCTCAAATGTTACTATCTTGTGGGGCATAGGAAGCTGTTGTGGCCCAGCAGGAGCCATTGGAGCTGCAAACAGACTCCGCCAGCGAGGGGCCTTATGAGTCGGCTGTAGAAGAGGTGGAGGACCCTGGACAGGGTTCTGACTCTGAGCAGGGCGCAGAGAGGCTGGTTGGCCACCAGGAG